GTGCATTTTAAGTCAAAAGGATGGTGATAATGGGCAGTCCTTAACTGGCAAATAAAAGTTGGCCACCTTTAGTGGTCCTCCACTTTTGGCTTTAATTTTATTCATTCCTGGAGTCCATGACTGGAAGTGAATGCCCGGCTGACACATAAATCCAGGTTTTAAACTTTCCTCTGTCCCACCCATGTTCAGTGAGCGGCTGCTGAGTGCAGAGTGAACAGGAATCCTTCCTTTGATTCAAAGAGCTTGTGGCCTGTGGGCCACACATTAGTGTAACACCATGGAGGCCGCAACACCGTCCACTCTGAGGGTGACAGGCTGTAAAAGACAGAGAAGTGGAGAGAGCATGGGGGTCACAGCCCATCACAGCATCCCTGACTCTTCTTAATACTTCCAGAAATGGCTTACCTCATTAGTAAATATTGGAGCCCTTGGGGAAATGAACTAACAACAAAAACCTCATTGTAAAATACGTATGTCAGAAAGTGAAAGGACAAAAAGGAACTGAGTGTAGAACAGAAGTAGAATATTCCAGACAGCAAGATTTATAACTGTATGTGGAAGAAAGTAGGCGCAGACTTTAAAAAGACATTTATTATGCAGTTGTTTGGTTGAGGACACACATAGGAAAGACAACCCATGCCTGATTTCCTAAGACAGGTACATGAGTGGTATAGTAAACTCGTTAAAATTCACAAAGACCTTAAGGAAAAGAATCACAAATCAAAATATTATTAGTGATATTTATGACACATTGTAACAACACAATTTGACTAAGCAGTAAATTCTATGTGGACTTAAAATACAGGGGATATCCGTGAAACAGGAGACTATGCTGTTTGGATATATTTATATGAGCCGATGCTCTCTAGTATACTAAACCGTAGTGTTAAATCTGAAAAATATAAATAGTTTTGTTGTATAAGCTAGAGAAATGTTTGGGTTTAACATGTTAAAATCACAACAAATATCTCAAAATATTCTTCCCAAATACTTTCTCTGTACCTGGAGTGGGGTGGGGGAGAAAGAAATCCTTCTGCAAAGGACATTTGTAAACATTGTGGTGAATGTACACGAGGCATCCTTTTTGAGGGCTTTAACGGTTTGCCAGTTTTGAGAGTACTTGTTAGTCCCTTGAGCAAAGGATATACTGTGTCACAATATAAGTGTTAATTGGAATTCCAGCAGATATCCAGGAAATTGGGAGGGACATAGACATGACACTTTTTTTTTTTAACCAAAATAGCTAACCTCCAACACTGGGCAAGAATTTGCATTCAAAAGAAAAAACACAAAACAAACCTCATCCAAACTCTCTACTTCACCTGCTTCAGACTTAGAATATTGCCAAGAATTAGTGCGACTGAGTTATTTAATGTGAATAAATAAAAGACATGCACTTAAAGGATTTGTTTGCCACCAGCGCACTGCTTTCTGTTGATTTGGACTTGCAGTTCATTCTCTGGATAAAAAATATTTGTGTTATAAATTCACCAAATTAATACTGGTCACTAATCACCTAGTTAAGTTACAATTGTATATATCCTGGCTAATGTTGCAATTTAAATTATAAAGAAATCATGGGAGGATCATTAGATAATGAACCACGAATGACATTATCTCTCTTTTAACAACATTACCTATACTAGATACAGTATTTCTGGTGGAAGAAAGCTCTATTCTATTCACATAGACACTGTGACAAGAAATTCACAGTGATGTGTATGTCACATTTGAAAAACGTACACGCTGTTTTTTAAAAGATAAGAAAGCATTTTCACCAGTCTCATAAAAAGGAACCAGTCTTGCAAAAAGTCTAACATTTTTTAATGTTAAATTCAAGTATATAAATAAATGAAAAAATGCTAAAATTGACAATGCTGAACTAATAATTTTATATTGTTTGTAATGATTTCAGATTCTTAATAAAAGCATTAGAGTGAACGATCTGGAATTTCAAGTCAAACCTCATCACAACAACTTTCGTTGCAATAAAAAAAGTTAACTATAAAGAAACGGTTTCCAGGTCTGGCCAGACACTAGCTGTGTTTCTGAATCTCACTGCCGCAAAACTTCCAATTTTAAATAATCTGTGGCAATGAACATTTTCTTGTAAGCAATTATGAAAAAGTTCTTACTCATGTGACAGTCACTTCTTACAATGCAAGCCCTGATTTAGTGACGCAGTGTAAGCCGTGGTGACAGAAGCCTCATTGCCGGATAACCAGGACAATGGGAGCACATTAAAAGTGAAGCCAAGTCCTTTACTTTCCATCCCTGAACGAAGAGTCCTGTGCGTGTCATTGCCACGAGCAGGCACACTGGCTGCGTCTATACGAATTTGACTGATAGATGAACAATCCCTTGAAATACTGGAAAACTGTTTGATCAGTGTCAACTGGAGATGTTTACTTCAAACCTTAATATATTCATTAGTTTTCTCCTGCAACATAATACACAAATGAATAGTTCATTATGGATAAACTCTTTGGTTTTTTAATCTCTAGAGCTTAGAACATACCAGGCACATACTAAATGTTTGTGAAATATGGGCATCAAGAAACAGTTTTCCTCGGTGTAAATTCCCCCTTTCCCTGAGTCTTAAACAATTTATAGAGTATGATGATACAAAGAAGTTACACACAATAAAAATGCAGTAATATAAAAAGACAAATTAAAAATCCCTTTCTCTAAACACATCTAATTCCCAGATGGACAGCAGTAAAGGACAACAGTGGTCCTTGCTATGGAAACTATCCCCTGTGAACCCACAAGACAATGAGGACCATTGACTAGGTAAGCAACTAATTAAAAGTTAGGGGATTTTCCCTCCACGGCAATTAACTGTGCGATAGAAGTCACGCCTTTTTTGCTTGTTTTCTCTCAAGTAGAATATATTTGTAGACAAAAACTTTAAGGTTTCAGTAGGCTGCATTACCTCTTTGAAATGTACTGGACTCTGTTTAGGAGAATAATGTTGAATTACCTAATTAGTATCCTGTGTGCTTATATAAATCAGTGTACTTAAGAAAAAAAAAATTTATCCTCACTTGAGGATATTTGTTTCCCTTGCTTTCAGAGAGAGAAAGAGAGAGGGGAAAGGAGAGAGAGTGAAACATCAATGGGAGGGACAAGCATCAATTGGTTGCCTCCCGAATCTGCCTGGACCGGGAATCATTCCTGCCTGGGCTGGGGACTGAAGCCGCAACCTAAGTACATGCCTTGACCCAGAATCAAACCTGAAACATTTTGGTTATGGGACGATGCTCCAACCAGCTGAGCTACACCAGCCAGGGCATAAATAAATCAGTGCATTTAAAAAAAATTGATGCACTCCCCAAAATTAACTGAATAACCCATTTGGTAAAGTTCTGCATTTAGACTAAATTGAGCAGTTTTCGTGTCAGAATAGATTTCGGAAATATTTCTCCAAAGAAACCATTCTAATTATGATTATGCTTTCATGTTTCTAAAATAAAGTTAATTAATTATTTTGGCATAATACTCTTAACTTTTGGTGGGGTAAAATCAATCACGGCAGTAATTTCTCTAAATGGTTCAATCAGTTTCACAGCTGAACCAATAATCTCATGTAGGAATTGCTTATATGATTTAGTATTGCATAGGACTATGAAGAAATCATTTTTGGAATAATATATTTAATATGTAGAGTTGATTATACAAGGAACTTTAGATTTATAATCAAAATGTACAATATTTAGTTGAAGGTATGTAATAATTCATTTTTATGATTAAGAAAGAGACTGGAAATCCAAGCAAACAAATCTATCAGAGAAGCAGTAGGATGTGAAGAGCGAAACTAATTTGGATTCATAACATGGCATAAGCATTTCAAAGTGAATAGTTATAAGATTAAAGAATATCACTAAGCAGTAGCATTTAAGAGATTATGAATTTTTCAACATTTGAAAAATTTCTATGTTCATTTAGTTCCTGTAAGCTTTCCAGAGTAAGTCATAAATTATTCCTTCATTCACAAATCAAAGCCTTATTGTTGGTTTAAGTATTTTTGTTAAGCCAAATAAGGCAGTTTATGATTTTCTATAAGTTGTATTAAGTTTCATTTCCTGAATATTATCACATACAATTCAACTTAATTAAAAAATACATCTTTTATTTCATATTTATTTCCTTCCACACATGAATAGAGCATTTAGGTGTGATTTGCGGGAGGCACCATGCTAAAACTCTGCGATGTTTATTTCACAATTAAAACATTTTAGGAAATGAACATTAATTTTTAAAAATACTATAAGATTAATAATAATTTTACATATACTCTTGAACTGAACTATCCAATATATAGTATTGTAATGACTAGCCACATTTGACCATTGAATACTTGAAGAACTGAATTTTTAATTTTAATCAATTTTATATTTAAAAAATTATAGTAGTCTTATTTATTGGAAAACTTTTACATGTGTTTGGACATCTTCGGTTTATGAATCTACTTTTTTACCTGCAAATTTTATGAAATGTAAGTACAGTATTTACTCATCAATAATTCATCAAGTATTACTGATGAAACCTTACTGTCCAAATTAAGGTGTACTGTAAATGTAAAAAACAAACCAGATTTCAAGGACTTTGTATTAAAAATGTAAAATTATCATTAATAATTTTTACATTGATTACTTTGGTACCTTGCACTATATTTCTTGTGGACAGCACTGATCTAGACTATATGAAAACTGCTGGTTTTAAAAAGTCATGTTTTAAATTCTCAATTTCAATGTCATTCTTTCAATCACATTTTTGTTATTATGAAAAAGTAATTCAGATGAGTATTTATTAAGTAAGAAGTGCACTAACTGCCTTCTTTGCGCCTTCTTCTTTCTCCAAATTGCTAAGCCCTTGCTAGCACCAACAGTAGAATGCAAAATCACAGGCAGTGAATCTGCAGAAACAGTGTATGAGAGCACTGATGAGTGTGGCAATCAAATTAAACTTCTCACACACTACAGATTCTATCTTTTTTTCCCCCCACCTGTTTCCAGACCTATCTGTCCCAAACCCCAAAGTTAATTTTCAACTTCCTCCCAAGTTCTGCTGTGCTATGGCTTCCAGTGTAGAATAATAAGCAATGACTTTGCTCAGTGATGTGCTTGGTCTTGTGTTAATACTAGATTCTGTCCAGGCCCGAGAGCTTTCATCCTTCAGGGTGGAGAGCTTTCTCTGGGAGAAAGGTTCAAATCCAAGAAGTTTGAACACCGCCACTCGGTACTTCTTGGACATGATGTTGTACAGAATGGGGTTGATGGCAGCGCTGAGGTAGAAGAGGACAAAGGACACGAGGTTGCAGTATTGGCTGATCTGAGCAATCTCCATGGAGCCAATCTCGAAAGACTTGGAAAATAAGTATCTCCCTACATGGAAGGGCAGCCAGCAGAGGATGAAAGCAAACACCACGACAGCTAAAAGAACAATGGGAGAGTGAGCATCAGTTCAAGAAATGGCACAGACTATCACGTTTTATTTGGAAGACGTAGTTTTGCTTTGATTATATATGGTGTGACCACTAACTTTAGAGAAACATAATGTTCTGCTCTTTCTCATTCCTATATTTTTACCAAGATGGAGTCTGTCTGGAGCAACACTTCAACCATTTTTACAGAGCTTCCCAGTCATTTCTATTAATAACATTTTGAGTGACTTTGTGATTGGTTTGCCATATTGACTCAACTGATTAGACTAGTTATTCACAATAATTCACCACTTTATATGCATGAGACACAACCAAACACATGTTAGAGAAACTGGTTATACTCCACTGTGGCCGGGAATCAGTGTTCCCTGGGGCACAGAGCCCTTGGATGTGAGATAGGCTCATTAAATTAAAATCTCTAGTTAGGAGGCTAGAACATCTGTTTTTTTCTTTTTAAAATTTCACAGAGGACTGAATATGCACTTAGGACTGGGAACCACTAAGAAGTATCCTACAATAGACATCAGTAAGGTGTAAAAGCCCATAAAACCAACCAACATTAATTATCATTCATCCAAATCTTCATTTTGCCCATGTGATAACATTAATCATCATCCATTCAAGGCATCATGTTACCCCTTTTTTCAAGACCTCTGCATTTCTAGATTAAGTTTTTAAAATTCAGAAATCAGAGGAAAAAAGAAGATAAATATTTTAGTCCTTATACTACTTTAGTGATTCCCTTCAAATTGTTAAGGCAAAAGAAAACTAACAAACTAACATTGGTGCTGAGACCCTAATGAGGATGACTATTGGCTGAAAAGAAAAATGAAGGAAATTATTTAAATTATTCTCTAAAACTAAGTTGCATAGTAGCAACTGACTGCCACAGTAGCCACGTGAATGTTAGAGCCCCCCGAGTGCACCAGCAGGTTTACAATCTATTAGCCATATCATGAGAATTACTTGTCTACAAAGTGACAATTTGGGGCATTCTTTGAATAAACGATCATGCTAATATACAGGAGGGAGTTCAAGAATTGTAAAATTACACATACAAGGGTGGGCAAAAGTAGGTTTGCAGTTATGAATACGTGAAAGTTTATTTTGTATTATTATTCATTAACTATTGTATTATTTGCATTATAACTGTAAATCTACTTTTGCCCACTCTGTAAGTGTAAAACACAGGGTGGGCCAAAAGTGGGCTTACAGTTGTTTGTATGGATAATAATACAATAATTCATAAATAACGATACAAGAATAAACTGTTTGGCATACTCACAACTGTAAACCTACTTTTGCCCCACCCCGTATTGACTACAACATCCAAATGATTAAGCGTGTAGACTTTAGTTCTGAAAAAGCAAATAGAATTAATATTCTTCTTGGATGTGAAGACATGTGGCATTACTTGCACCAAACACACACACTTAAAGAAGCTGAATTCATACAGTACACATTCAGCAGACTCCAGCCGTGACCCTGCACCCAAATGTCCCCCACAGGATCATTTGCGGAGTGACAGCAAGTCCTGTCTGCTTCCATTAACGTCTCTCTTTCTCATGCTGGAATCCTGCCTGTCCTAGCGTACCCTAGATTACCAGTCTTTTCTACCTGGAAAGATGTGTAATCATGAAAAGAAGTGAAGACTCCAGAACTGATTTGTCACTGACTTCCTTACAAAGCTGTACCAACATCAGCAAGGTAAACAGAACTGATTTGATTATTTGATTTAAAAAAAAATGCAGGGCACAAAGCAAATCACAATACTGAAAGAAAAATGAACCATTTCCGACAGAATTATCCAAATGGATTGCGTTTTTTTGGTTAAATTTACCACTGAATATGTCCCTGATTTAATGCCTGCTTTTCTTAGCAAAACTTAGATATCCACGAATTCTCTTAGAGGCAGGAAGCTCCACCTGACCTTTAACATGTAAAGATCACAAGGACTTTTATAAAATATCTCAATCTTGAAGCAAAGTTTCTGGGATGATATTAAAAACTCATTTTAGGGAAGTGCATGGGTGAGGCATTTGTCCACGAAAGAGAGAAAGGAAAGCCAAGAAGAAAGAGACACAAAGAGACCTAAAGAGAGTCGAGACTGTGACCAAATTGGGAGGGGGGAGCAGAAAGGGAGGGAGCGAGGAAGACAGGGAGAAAGAGGGAGGGGGAGGGAAGGAGGGAGGAAGGAAAGGAGATACAGATAAAAACAGGAGCAAGAAAGTTTTGTGTTCTTTTTTTCAGTCCTAGAGAGACAGGGACGCCCACACACGGCAGAAAATCTAGGAGACCCAAGAAGGAGTTCAAGTCAGAAACAGGAGAGAGAGAAATTGAAGACACCGCGAGAGAGACGGAGAGAAGCAGGAAAGAGAGGCAGACACTCGGGGAGAAGGGGAGACGGTCGGGGAGAGGAGGGTACCGGGAGAGAGAGCTGAGGACGCGCGCAGACGCACCCAGCATTTTCACGGTCTGCTTGTGGTGGTTCTGGTCCCTGAGCGAGGCGGCCACCGCGGCCTCGCCGCGCCGCCTGCGCCACAGCTTCCTGCCGATGAGGCTGTAGAGCACAGTGAGGCAGAAGACGGGCAGGAAGAAGAAGACGCTGGACACCCACACCATGACGGTGAGCAGTCCGGAGCTCACGGCGAACTCGGTGGCGCGGCACTCGTTGGTGTCCCGAGGGTCCGTGCCGTTCTCGTGCTCCACGCCGACCAGCACGAAGATGGGCCCGGCGCTGCAGAAAGCCACGGCCCAGATGACCAGGATGACCAGCTTCACCCGGCCTTTGGTGACCACCACCTTGGCCCGCAGCGGAAAGCAGATCGCGAAGTAGCGCTCGACGCTAAGCGCGGTGATGGTGAGCACCGTGGCGTAGGTGCAGCTCTCGCTGACGAACTGGAAGAGTTTGCAGAGCAGGTCGCCGAAGTTCCAGGGCCGGTACTGCCAGAGGCGGACGAGGTCCAGGGGCATGCAAAGGAAGATGAGTAAGTCGGAGAAGGCCATGCTGGACAGGTAGAGGTTGGTGGTGGTGCGCAGCTCGCGGAAGCGCGACACCACCAGCATGGTGAGCAGGTTGCCCGCGATGCCCACCACGAAGAGCGCCACGCAGGTGGCGGTGACGCCGGCCAACAGCGGCGCAGGAAAGAGGGGCAGCAGCTCGTCTGTCCGCGAGTCGTTGTCGGGGGGAGCGTCCCAGCCCAGGTCCGGCAGAGTGAGGTTGGGCCCCGGCTCCTCGATCATCGTCGCGTTCCACATGCTGCCGGCTCGACTTCACTGGCTCTGGAATGCTGAGAAGCTGGACCGCGCTGGTCCCCCGGAAGGTCGCCTTAGGCGCCAGAGAGGGCGAGGGAGGAGCGGGCGCGCAGGAAAGCTTGTTGAGGAAAGAGAGGGAAGTGAGAAGCAGAAGCTGAGGCAGAAGGTGACACTGAGAGCCTGGGGCGGGGAGCAGTGGGGAAGGGAGGCTGGGACACACGCGCGCGCGCGCACACACACGCACGTGGTGAGAACAGAGCGTGACCCACCGCTCTTTCTGGAGCCTCCCCTTTTCTCCATCCTCTCCCCCAAAGTCTCTCTCCCAACCCAGCATCCGGCCGGCCTGCACACACATACCTGTCAACGGGGCAGCCCCGCCAGCCTTGCCTTGCCTTCGCGTTCCTGCTCCAGCTGCATCTCGCGCTTGCTCACGCGTCCCGGGGCGTGGGGCTCTCGGAGACCGTGCACTGCGAAACGGGAGCGGGAGCAGCGCTCTCCACGATTTTGCCCGCAGCCTGGCTCGTGTGGCTCCAAAGGGCTGGTCACACCCGGCGGGGGCGGAGACAGCGGGGGCGGCCGGGAGAACGCCTCCAATAGCCCAGGCTGGAGTTCTCCCTCAGCAAGGCAGAGAGTTGGTTACAGACCTGGTCGGAAGAAGAAGCAAGCGTGACCGAACTGAGCTTAGAAAAAGGGGGTAGGGAGAAAAAAAATAAATAAATAAAAGGAGGGACCTAGTGTTAGTGTTCTGACCAGAGAGGGGACTGGTGCGCACCCTTGAGCCTCACGCGGTCCTAGAAGCTATTATGTGAGAGACGAAACAGGTTCAGAGACGTGTTGCCACTTTTTCAAGACCACCTAGCAGCAAGTCAGGGACTTTGAGGCTAGACTTGGATTTTCCACCCGGTTTGGATTGTTGAGCAGGAAGGCGCAAGATGTGTGCCTAACTGTTCTGAATCCCAGCCCTTGGTACAATCTGTCCCCCAACTCTGCGGCGGTAGGGAAAAGGCTGTGTAGGTTACTTTTGCTTGATGCAAACCTCGTGGGAGGGGGAGGGGCAAAAGGAAAGAAGCAGGGTGGCAGGAGGTGGAGCGGGCAAAGGAGGAGGAACGGAGGCTGTAAGACTGAAACGTCGAGGGTACACAGTACACATTTTTTTGAGGCATGATTGAGGGAGCTCCGCCATTGGGTAACTGTGTCTACTTGGGCAAAATTGTCAACCTATTTAAGTTTTGAGGATGTTGTGAGGGTAAATATAGACTGCATTGCTGTTATCGGGGCTGCTGTTGAGTGGCAGGAGCTGCGCCCGGTGGGAATGGGTGAGAAGGCTCCCCACACTCTCCAGGTGATTCCCCTGTCTGCAGCCTGTGCGTGCCCTGCCGGGAACCACGAGTCAACAACTGAAGACAGGAGACTGGCAGCTGCAGGGCCTTTTTCAGCCCGTCGACCTGGGAGCAGACCAGGAGCGTGTTCAGCACCGCGGCCAGCGACCGGTTCCCGGGCCGCGCAGCTCTGCGAACCGCCTTTCCATTTGAGCTTCAGCACCTGCGTTGGGCTTAGCGCAGAGGCGCGTTAAGCGGTTGCGCTGACCTCTCTCGCTCTCACCTGCCCCTGGCCCAAATGAGAATCCATTCATTCTGTATGATTGAGGGCTGTCCTGAAACATTTTAGTGCAATGACACATGGCTTGACAGATGTTTATATCATCAATACCACCTAAATTGTTCAGGCTTAAAAATCCACAAAAACCTGAGGTTGAAAACATGCGCACGTACATGTAAGATTCCACACTCTGAGAGAGACTGCACGAGGGAGGCTTGATACAGGCTTCCTACTGGAGAACATGCTACATAAGTTGCCCTGCAGATTTGGACCAAACTGACTTTAAGAGAAAATTTATTTCAAACCACTATTTTAAAAGAGATTACAAGTAGGTCAAGCCACCGGTAACTAACAAGTTTAAAAAATCAGCTCTGACCAGTGTGGCTCAGTGGGTTGAGCGCTGGCCTGCAAACTCAACAGTCGCCAGTTCGATTCCCAGTCAGAGCACATATCTGGGTTGCGGGCCAGGTCCCAAGTTGGGGGTTCAGGAGAGGCAACAACACATTGATTTTTCTTTCCCTCTCTTTCTCCCTCCCTTCCCCTCCCTCTAAAAATAAATAAATAAAATCTTTTAAACATTTTTTAAAAATCAATACTTTGATTTCAACACTTCCCACCCTTCATTAGCAGTAGATTTATGTGTGCAGACAGGTCTTTAGGGGTAAATTAAAATACTGTAGGCAGCTATTGTCTAAGAATAAGAATCAGGAAAAAATGGTGGGGTATACTTCTATTCTACTCGGAGCCAAAACAATGGCTGATAGGGGAGAACATCTTTTAAAAAATCAGTTGTGATAAAATATGGCATGTTATCTAAAATAACCAGCTATTTGACTGCATTCAATAATTGTCTAAAATACAGACAAATCTGTATGGTGTGATCAAGGAGAAACATGGTATAGTTTTGAAACTGATCTCTTTCACAACACAATACAGTATGTAAAACTGTCGATAAGTATTTGCTAGGCACTTGGGATAACAAAATAAATAAAATCCAGACAGGCCCTATATTTATAAACTTGGAGCCTAGAGAGAAAAATACAGTTAAACAAGAAATTCTAGTACAGTATGAGGCATGGACAATGGGCTCCGTTGATATATGGAGAAGCAATGTCTTTCTGCTCTGTCATACTTTGTGAGTAGATCCCAATATCAAGGTCATTTCATGGTCCAAGATTACTGCTGGAGCTCCAGTCAGTCAAGTCAGTTCTAGGCAAGAAAAAGCAGAAGAGGAAGTGAGAAGGAGATTCTTAGAAGCTTAACTCAAAACTCTCACTTTTATCACAGTGGCCAACCCTACCTTCAAGGGAGGCTGGGAAATATCGCTCCCAAGTTTCTTGATTTGGGTAAACGATTTGCAATCTCTGCTATGTTTTCCATCCAAACTAAGTAAATTGAGAACAAAATAAATTTTTCTTGAAGTGACCCATGAAACCCAGTACAGTATCTTGCATGTAGTAGAGCACTGAAAATAAAAGTTTACTGATTTGATTACACTTATTTTGCATTTAAAATCATATATATTAACATAGGACACATGAGAAAGCTCATAAGGAAATTTAAGTGTTACATTGTGCCTTTAATAAAAAATCATTTATTTTAATTTTCCATTTCATCTGTGTACATAATGTACTAATATCTTTAGCTTCATCATTTATGTTCTTTCTACATTACGTAGTCTCATTTAAATAATATTGTGCACATACTTCAAACTAAGAAATACACATCACTCTTACCAAGTGAACAAGATATAAGAATCAAGATTTAATATCAAGTATATCAATAGAGGAGAAGAAAAATTATATTTCTTGAAAAAATTAATCTTAGCACTCAGGCACCTAAAAATATTTTTCTAGTTAGCTAATGACATACATTATCATGAATGATCACTATAAATAACTAAGTAATCACACATTTTAGACATTTATTAAAAAATCTGTATGCTTTTTTGGTGATAGAAGTAACATATTCCTTAAAAATACAAACATTGTTTTTCTGATATCTATCCCTTTACAGTTTTCCCCAGATAATCCGGTGGGGCTTTCCATATTTTTCATTGGTATTTACACAACTCTTTTTACATCTGATGTTAAGCATTATTACTTTCAACATAGTCATTTCAAACCTAAAAAATACCAAAATTTACCTATTAAAATGTATCAAAGTTATATATAGGTTTATAATTTTAAATAGTTACACAAAGCTTATTAAGCCATCCTCACACTGGTTTATGCATTATCTATTGACATACAGTTGTGAAAGAAGAGTATTGAACTCTTTCATACTCTCAACCCATATGTCATCTTTACACACACACACACACACCTTTTTCATCTTCTAAATACAAATTTTTTGATTATATCTATCTCAAGCACTCACATTTTATGCTGATTTAGATACTACTAAATCCAAACCATATAATATATTGTGAGAACATTCTCTTTTCTTGAACCACTTTTTGTTTTCCTTTGTGTTTTAAACATCTCATTGGATGGTTTGCCTAGTTTCTAGATAACTACCACTCTCCCCCCTCTCAGTATATTCATCTAACTCAGCAGGTTATTTTATGAATTTCACCTATTTCCTGGAGACAGCACTTCTGGAGACCTCCTCCTCCTCCTACTGCCACCTGGACTCTTGTTTTCTGGGTCTGCCATGCAGGCCGTTGTCCTGGTTCTTCATTCTTATCCTGGGCCTTCCTCTCTCTTAGTTTGCTTTTTGTTTGGAAGGAGCATATTCTCCAGTAACTTTCTGAGAAAAGGTTAATGAGAGTTAAGTTTTTCAGGATCTTTAAATCTAAACTATTTTCACTCTACCATAACATTGTTTGAGAGTTTATTTATAGCATTCTGGTTTAGATATTATCTACCTTCAGAACTTTAAAAGAATTGCTTCATAGAATTTTTCAAATGCAATGCTATTCTAATTCCTGGTTACTTGTATACTATTCGTTTATTTTTCTCCCAGAGCTTTTAAGAGTCATTATTGAAAATATTATTTTGCAAATATTTATTGAGCATCTGTGATGTTGAGTACAAATTTAGGCATCAAGGATGCAGAAGTGAATAAAAGACCAAAAAATTCCTGTCTCCTTGGTGGTTACATTCAGCAGTGGAAAAAAATAATATAAAAGATAAGTACGTAAATTAGATGGTAGTGTTAGAAATGCGCGCGCGAGAGAGATGGAGATGATCTTTATTTGATGCTCCGCTTACAGGTGAGCTGAGTCTGGGCAGATTGTAGCCCCAGGGGGAGGGAAGAATGGGATTTTTAAAGGAAAAAGCACGGGATTTGTGGGGGAAGAAGGGAGGGATTAGACTTTTGTTCTTCTTGACTGTTGCCTCAGGATTTCAGGATGTGAGTCCGGACAATGAGTTAGGTGAAGGGCCAGGCTGATGCCAGGT